TCAGTCAAATCATTCCTGAAACAAACGAACTTGCAAATGAACTGAATGATTGGTCCGACTTCCGTACACATACTACGATAAAACTGTGCAAACGCGATTAACAACGATTTATCGAATAGATTTTAAACCTTGCTCCGATGGCTTGCACTAACCAAAATATTTGCGCAGCTTTTTGTACACACATTCGATAAAACTGCACAAATGTTCTGCGCAGTCAGTTTGCAACGATAAATCGTTGTCGTGTGTACCGACCATAATAGGACTCGGTAGCTATCGCATAGCCTTATATTATACAAAATATGCTACCATATCTGACACCACCCGCAATTCACAGTTCTGGGACGGGTGCATAGTCCCTCCCCCCTTATATCGGCCCTTGATTTCGGGTCCGCAGTAGGTACGTTTGCAAGAGTCAAGCTGCAGCTATATTATAGTTGTAGCACGAATGGGTCGGCTCAACCGCGACAGGATCATGCTCTCACTGAGTACCAGCGTAAAATAGCGTAATACTGCTGTGTTTCGTATTGCGAGTGTAGAGAACCGGAGATCCTTTTTACTGGAATCTAGGCATTCCATATTCGTCATCAGGGGTGACAACGCATTTGCATTTTGATTCTTAATTGAGGATAAATGTGGATGTCTATGGACGACAGCATCCGCTTATAATCAGGTGGCCTGTGCGCTCGTTTTCACCCAATGCTATAAAAAAATGTAAGTGGCAACACTAATTTCAAAAAAGAACTTGAGCATCAAGACATACAATTTAATATAACAATTTAATAAAAATTGATTCAATTCTGCAACAATGCCAAGTTCTGTACCAAGCAGTCCACGAAACACCACTAGACTATAATATCCACTGTGCAAACATTTCTTACCCGAAGGCAATACAAAATTTTAACTTCTCTATTTTGGCTACTGTACAGTGAACCATTATATTATGGAAAAACGATCTGTAAATAAATTGGCTAATTTATAAATAAGGAAGATTTTTTTATCGGATCTGTTATGCAGCTTAGTTTTACATATGCTTTTAGAAAACGAAATAACGAAAAAAAAAACTAGGTCAGCATTCCGAGAAAATATATTATTATAACTGTCTAAATTTAGTTCTTATGGCTTTTCTCGATCCCCTGAGACGCGAGTTCAGTGAACGCAAATAATTGTGCAACATTGCCATAGATTCATTATACACTGACGTATATGTGTGAATATTACAATTTTGTGTTTGGGTTTGAATAAATTTAGTTCTTACCCTCGGAATAATACTATATTTATAATGACCGTTGCCGATTTATTTAGCAGTAAATGGGGTTAGTGACATGAAGCAAATTGCAGATCTCTTCAGGGATCATTTTATGGTCACGTCACCCTTAGGGCCGTCGTCACACCCCGTGTCCAATGCTGAAACCAAGCGTGAACTCAAAATGGTAGCAAGTGACAAAATGATAGCACGAGTTATTAGAACTATGGTTGCAGGTAAGTCACCCGGTCACGATGGTCTCAGTATTGAGCACTTTAAATATGCAGGTGTGCACTTACCTAGAGTTTTGGCACTATTATTTAATGTTTGTGTCTCGCATACCTACTTGCCTGCCGACTTAATGAGGACTTCAGTTGTCCCCATTGTAAAAAACCGTACTGGTGACGTATCAGAGAGATCGAACTATAGACCAATATCCTTGGCAACGACAATAGCCAACATATTTGACAGTATGCTTAACTCTATTCTAGAAAACCACTGTATGCTACATGATGGCCAGAACGGCTTCTCGCGTGGTCTATCAACAGAAACAGCAATAATGAGTTTAAAGCATACTGTCAAATACTACACTGACAGGCGCACCCCAGTGTATGCCTGTTTCCTAGATCTGAGTAAAGCTTTCGATCTTGTCTCGTACGACATCTTATGGCGTAAGTTAAAAGGCGTAGGTTTACCTTGTGGCTACACCAATTTACTCAACTATTGGTATAGTAACCAAGTGAACTATGTGAGATGGGCGAATGAGTATTCTGAGCCGTACAGGATGGAAGTGCGGGGTTAGGCAGGGGGACTGACATCACCGAGGCTTTTCAACCTGTATATGGACGCACTGATTCGAGAGCTCAGCAGCATGCGTATCGGCTGCCATATCGGCAAGGTGTGTGTGAACAATATCAGCTACGCGGACGATATGGTTCTGCTGGCACCCTCAGTTAGTGCGATGAGAGCTCTACTCGGTGTTTGTGAAAAATTCGCTGTCTCACATGGTTTACTATACAATACCGAAAAGTCGCATTTCATGGTATTTAAGGCTGGCAGTAAATGTCCTAGTGTGGTACCACCTATAAAGCTTTATAATGAACCGCTAGAAAGGGTCTATAGTTTTAAATATCTTGGACATATTGTGACTGACAGCCTTAAAGACGATGAAGACATTGAAAGAGAACGTAGGGCACTGTCGGTCAGGGCGAATATGTTGGTGCATAGATTTGGTCGCTGCACTGACGCTGTCAAGATCACGCTTTTCAAAACATATTGTGCGTCATTTTATTCTTGCAGTCTATGGACCAACTACACCAAAAAGACTTATAGTGCCCTACGTAGGTACTCAATACAACAAGGCATTCAGGGCGCTGTTGCGGCTGCCGCGCTACTGTAGCGCGTCTGCGATGTTTGCACTGGCGGGTGTAGATAATGTTGATGCAATAATACGAAAAAAGACCGCATCTTTGCTAAACAGAGTACGCGGCAGCGGCCACAGTGTACTGAGTGAGATTGCCAACAGTGGGGACTGCCCACTGATCAAAAAAATGATCTCCAGAACCATATCCTGCTTAATAATTAAATATTAAAATAAAAAAATAAAAATGTATAAATTATATTACCAACATAGATGTAAGTTTTTCTCTACTAACAATTCCTATGGATTTCAAGTTGTCCGAAATAAACAATTTTTTTTTTTATTTAACCGAAAGCCGATTTTTTTACCCATGAGTTCTTCTAAATTAACCGTTTTCTACAATGCCGTTAATACAAAAAAAATATAATAAATTCCATTTATCCAAAAAAATTCGATTATATTTATAATTTACATAGGTCTTAATAGTATGTTTTTTTACACTTGTCCCTTCCGCTAGAGATATACTGTAAATCGTTTATAATTATTTAATACATATATTTTACCCGCGACGTCGTCCATGTAGAACTTAAAAAACCTACAGATCTAAAGGAAGTGGTTTTTGGACAAGTAGTTTATATAAGTATCGTAAAGCCTCAGAGAGGCTACAATTATTGGTTTTTAATTAATTTATCTTTTTGATATACTGTAAAATGTTCAACATAAAAATTATGTAGCCAATTTATATTTACAGTTTAAGTTCAATACACCAACTGAAGTTGACACAGAACTTTATAATTTCAAAAGCTACCTTATTCTTATTTCTTTTATAAACCAGTTTATACAACTTTTTTCTACTGATATTTTGAAATAATTTATTTTGTAATATTAAAAACTTTTTGTATCTCAATTAAATTAAGTGCCATTGTAAACTATACACCATTGGTAGAAAATAAAAATATCTTATTTGACATCAATTTTAAGATTTCCTCTAGTTAATCGTAGGGACTTGCAGCATTAATTCACTATTTTTAACTGCCTCGTTGGTCTGGTGGTCGTAGATGTGACTGTTGATCATGTGATCCCCGGTCAAATTTTGGATCGGGCCAAAAAACAGTTATCGAGTTTTTCTGCCAAGAAATAGTCAGTAACAGCTAAAAGTTGGGAAGTTGTCGGTGTTATAGCCCCTCGGAAAGCAAATATAGCCGTTGGTCCTGCGTCTGATCTCTCTGGTGGCAAATTCGGTCTGAAGTATATTATTATTAGGTATTTATACAGCCGTGAGCCGTGGTAGCTCAGATAGTTAACGCTCGCTGTAAATATAACAAAACGCGAGTAACCCGGGTTCGATCCCCGCCGGCACCAATAAAATTGCTAATTGCAATTTTAAGTGCTGATTTACCACGCACTCGGCGGTGAAGGCAAAACATCGTGAGGAAACCTGCATGTCAGAGCAATCATAAGGAAAAAAAAATTCGAAAACGTGAAGTTCACCAATACGCATTGGGGCAGCGCGGCGGACACTTCTTTGCCCTAAAACCCTTTAAAAATGTGGGGAGGCCTGTGCCCAGCAGTGGGACGTATATAGGCTGTAACTTCACTTTTTACTTTTACTATACATACCTCAGAGTCAATTGCTCAACCTCACCCATAGATAACCTCATAGCATTTTTTAATTTGGGTTGTTATAACGAAGATGATATAGGGTAGTAGATTTTGTACGTGGTATAACCACGCTGAAACTATATTATGGTTGCGGCACAAATGGGTCGGCTTGACTGGGGAAGGGCTACGTTTCCACTGAATATCAGCATAAAATAGCAGCTTAATGCTGCTGTCTTTCCTATGATGACTGCCTCTGTGGTCCAGTAGTCTTAAATGCGACTACTGATAAAATGGTCTCGAATTTGAATCCAGGATCGAGTCAAGATTAGTTATTAGAGTTCCTTCGATCAAGAAATTCTCAGTAGCTATCCGAAGTCAGGTGCTTCACTCTCGTGTCTCTAAAAGCATGTAAAGCCGCTGGTCCTGCGCCTGATATCACTCCGGTCCTATACCTTTAAAAGCAGGTTATGTTAAAAATTTTAAAATGTCCGATGACAGAAGGCTCTCGGTACCTTTTTAATAATTTTTTTAAGCCATTTATCACATAAACGACCTTAGTTTACCACGAGCTCGGCGGCCATAGTAAAGGTCATGTGGTAGCCTGCATGTCTGAGATATTAACAATTACAATAAAAATTTACATACACAAACAGTTTTGATGACAGGTTCTTCAGCTCTACCTTGCCGCAAAACTCTCAGATGTGCGAGACGTGTATAGGCTGTTAATTTACTTATTTTTATTTTTAAGTCAAGAGGAATTTTGAATAAATCCAAAAATGGTATTTTATTCCACAGAAATCCTTTAAACGTGAATCTACATATGACTGGTTCCTATATAATACCCTTGTATTGAAAGTTAGAGGCGATGGGAGATCTTATTTACTTAACATATCCTGTGAGGGATACTATGACATAACTTGGAATGATATTTATCATTATGTACTTTACACTAGAGGTGGTCCCTATTGGCAAGTTGCAAAGGTAATGGTTTCAATTTGTTTTCTTATTAAAATATGCCTGTAGGCTTTTTCCCAATCTCGTTACAGACAACATTTCTTTATCATTTGCTAAGCTTTAAAGTATGTACCTTTTTGAAATAAATATATAATTCATTTTCGTCTTTTCATGATTTTCTCTACCATTAAGGCTTCAAAACGTTTTTTTTTTGCAGATACCATTTTCAAAATTTGTGCTAGGATCAAAAGGGCGTATACAAGATAAGCAAAACCGAATGAGGTTAGACAAGGTGACACATTTTGGTATATCATGCGGAGACAAGATAAATGGTCCATTTAAACTCGAAATCGAATACATCGGTACGAGGTGAAAATTATAATGTATCAATTAAAGTTTTGAAAATCATTATAACTTTTTATATTATTCCAGGTTTGGAGTTCGATCCGACGCACGATGAGAAATTTGCTTATGAAATGTACAAAACGGATAAATATATCGTAGGAGTTTAAAGTTGTAATTAAATGCGATTTGAAAACACATATTTTCGGTCTTAATTACTTCACAAACTTTAACTATTTATACAGAAATATATACTAAGGAGAGCCTTGGTAGGTAAAGGTCTAAGCGCTGTCGCATATTTCACAGTACGCGAGCAATCCGGGTTCGGTCGGTGCTGGCGCACAAATGAAATTGTTAATTGCAATTTTCAGTGCTGATTTGACATGTGCTCAGTGTGAAGAAAACAATTTTAATTAATCCTGCGTGTCTAAGATAAAAAAATTACTAAGAACATGTGGAATCCGCCAATACAGCTTAATTATTCAGCCCAAAAAAAATTATTAAGTTTATCTACTTTTCAACGTCTCTATGAGTTCATTCTTGTCAGGTATCGTATGTACTGCCATCATTTCCTTGAGTGTAAAAGTGTATAGCAGACGAAAACACAGATGCTACTCCTCGTATTGTTATGGCGCTGACTGCATGAACGTCGTGAAAAACCAAAACGAGCAGCGTGGATAAAGTCCACAAACTAATAAGCGTACTAACGTAATTAAGCCATTACCGACATGTTGCCATATAAATTTTCCATCTACTACATAATATCGATTACTGCTTTAAAACTTTGAAACGATATAAAAATCAGTGTCTCGTCAAATCTATCATCTTTATTTGGAAATATATAATTAAACATCATCAAATATATAACTAAAGATCATTATCGTTATCAAAATAATAAATAAACATCATCATTAAAATTCTCTCTGCGTGATAAACTTAAGATTGAGGTTATCCGCAGTAGAACCAGAGTAACCGACATAGCCCAACGGATTAGTAAGCTGAAGTGACAATGGGCCGGCCATATAGCTCGAAGAACCGATAACTGATGGGGAAAAAAGATTCTCGAGTGGCAGCCTCGTACCCGCAGGTGAAGTGTGCGACGTCCCCCCACTAGATAGAGTGAAGACCTGGTAAGATATGCAGGAAGTCGATGGATGGGGGAGTGGCAGGAGGAGGCTTTTAGAAGGACAGGGCTGTATGATGATGATGATGATGACCTAATTGCACAGTGCATACTACCTGTCTGTGGCAAAAAATGAATATATGCGTTGCCACGAGACGCCTGCGCGCAGTTGAACCTGATAACTCACAGACTACAAAGAGGATAGGTACTACGCATTGTTAACTACACTAAACTGCACACATGTAAGACCGAGCCGATCGTCTGTAAGAGCCTTGGATGAGAGCAACTTTTAATTAACATTGACAACTTCATACACTGAGTAGGATGGCCATGTTTGACGTAAACTACAAGATATCATGACATATTACTGAGTATGATAGAGAAATACACCTGCTTTCTACTTGAGGTACTAGGGTGACAACAGTTCAGAATAACTTGTGGGGATCACAAAACTGCATGTTACTCAAAGGTTAATGATCCACGGATTCCAAACGTAAGGCAGTATGTATAGGCTTACGTCGTGTAGATGCACAAAACAGTGCATTTCAAAGTGATGTAATATGACATTACATTTTGTACCGAGAACTGTTACATTACACCACAACTCCAAACATGACGTGAAATGACGCGACGTTGTAGAAGATATGCATCATTACATGATATAGTGCGTTATATTATGATGTGATGTGACAATCGCCAAAACGCAGCGCCCTCGCTACTCGCTGCTTGATTTTAAGTCGATTTTCCTTCATACTTTATTCCAATCTACTAAACAAATCAAAAAGGAATTCAGGCTAAGGACCGGCAATAAATTGTTTGCAATATTGATTATTGACCAACACTAAAAATGTTGACGTATTTAAATATCGATTTTATATAAAATGATTGTGATTTTTTTTTTGTTATATATTGTTATTTGTTTTAATACCTTACTTTATTTTTTATTTACATGATATTTAAATTTTTAATAACAGCTAATAAATCATAATTGTGATCGTTTTTTTGTCTTCAGACATTCAACAGAGTGATGGAGACAGCACGAGAAGTAACGGCATATTAAAATTGAGTAGCGTTTGAATATTTTGGGCAGTAGAGTATATAGTGCCAGAGTAGGGTACATATGTTTTGATTTCCCCACTAACGGTAACGTTAAACGTACATTAAAAAATGGAATTAACGGAAGATGATGTACATGGCACAAAATTGATACTTGCAAAAATTCAATATCATCTTCTCCGAGATTTAAAACGATAGTTTGCATGCCGTGGTTTACCTACCTGTTCCAGGTAATAAAAATGTACTCGTAGAAACATTTGTTGTCGGATAGAGTTCGTTTTATTTGTTTACATATACATATGGTTGTTAAAGCTTCCTTTTAAATTTTAAGAATTCATTGCGAATGTTAATGATAAAATATTTTTTATCGGGATCGATGGTGGTAAATGTTTAGAGGATAAGCAGCTACGCATGAAATTACTCAAAGCAGTTCCACAGACATCTTTTTCGTTCTTCAAATTGGGCAATTTTCCCATCCCGGGCTATTTCTCGTACCTACTTTCTATTATGCTACGATGCGACACTTCTGCTCCTAATGTTGATACTTTGAACCTAAATAAAACCTTATCTGATGATCTAACTCAAAAGCAATGCAAATAGGAAGGCAATATTGTCTAAGTGATTTTGTTTTAAACATGGAAGTAAATGCGATTGATAAGAGTTATTATTTAAGAACAGATGTAAAATCTTTCAGAGCAACCGTTACTTATAAAATAAGCGTAGCTCTTGAATTATTAATGCTCAGTGTCAGTGTCCAACATTTGCTTCGAAGAACTGTTCCCATATTATTGCTGTATTTACAAACTTGAAGATTATACCGTATGCGACGGTTATGATGCTCTGAGTTATGTTCAATCGAAATAAAAGGTGTACCTAGGACAAAAATGTTGACAATAATCCAGACAGTATTTTAACAGCCAGCTATCATACAAAACGTAAACATCCTAAGAAATCGATTGTTAACTTTAATCCAAAAAAATAGTTAATGACCAAGATAACAAACAGTTACATGTAGTTTCGTTAAAATAATTCAGAGTAAAGAAGGAGAAAAAAGTGGAACTTCTCGATCTCAAAACATTGGACAAATATTTTTACGTACATAGTTAACTCATTACATCAAAAACGATCCCAGCAAAAATTTCGAAAAAAAAAACACATCTTATATAATTTTTTTTGAAAATCGACGAAGTTTTTCTTAAAAACAATAATAAAATGTATTATGAAAAAACGATTTTTTCGGTTGTTTACACGAACACCAGCAAGTTCGTTCTAATCGGTCAAGCCGTTCGGTCACATACACACACACACACGCACGCACGCACGCACGTACGCACGCACGCGCACACACACACGCACACACACACACACACACACACACACACACACAAATACATACGGATGTAGTGTGTATGTACCCTCGTAGGAATAGTCAGAATAGCTTCTTAGGACCTCAAAACGTTTGAGATCTGATGAAACCTCGATTTTTGAAACTTTTAACTTAGATAATATTCGTAATTTAACGGTTACTTGAAAATCATTGATTTTCATAGCGGGCACTTAAAAAGAAAATAACTGCGTTATGGATTATAAAGCATGAAAATATGACCTGATGAAAAACTAATATTTAAGGTTAAAAATTAATCAGTTAATACTGAGTTTAATTTCAGTCGAATCTGAAGCGATTTAAATCGATGTAAGTAGTGGGCCCAAATCCCCCCCCCTCCCCCATCAACATGGTAGCGGAATTAAATGATGATAGACTACCCCAGGAGGGTACCAGCACCCCTGGAGAATCCCTCGCTGAGCATCCACGACCATGTTTCTCTACTTCTGAGCGTGGGTGCTCAGGCTGCCCCGCGTATTCTGGGGGGGGGGGGGGGGGCAAAATTCTGATCAAAACTACAACTGCTCGGGGCAAACGGAGCAACAAGGCCAAGGCGACCCCTGCCACGCTGTCTGTGAGTTTCTCCAATATCAGGGGACTTCACTCTAACCTAAACGCCGTCCACTACCATCTCGAGACGGCGAGGCCGGCTCTGCTCTTTCTGACCGAGACGCAGGTGTCCTCTCCAGCTGATATCTCGTATCTCTCCTACCCGGGGTACAAACTGGAACACTCCTTTGTGCCTCGGGCTGGAGTTTGCGTTTACGTCAGAGAGGACATCTGTTCTCAACGCCTCGGCAGACTTGAAGGTTCGGACCTGTCCATCCTTTAGCTACGCGTAGACAGCGATCCATCCGCGCGTCTACGGGTGTGCCGGCATGAAATACTGCCCCGTTCTGCTGAGCACGCCAAGCTTTTAAGAGGCCAATTTGGCTTTCTCTTCCGAGTGACTATGAAACTGCACGTCACTCGTATGTCGACACCGTGGATTCCGATACTGGCTGGGGCAACAAGGGGAGTGCCTTGAAACTGAGGAGAGAGAGGAGATACGACAAAGTGGTTCTTTTTCTACTGTGTGTTATATAAATGAAAGCTGGAAATGTCTAACTTGCATAAAAAGGCTACCAATAGAGAGTGAAAACACCGACACTCCCTGTTCAAATAAACGAAATATAACCAGTTCTACTTGTATAGATAACTTTATTGTCAATTTTATTGAATGTAAAGGATGTCTATTGGGTCAAAAACTTTCTGATCGTAATGTAATTAAATTAGAATTAGTTAATCTAAAAAAATTGTAACAATAAATGTAAAACTTATGTAGGTAGAAATTTTTCAAGGAATAATCATGATTACTTTAATTATTTGTTTATTAAAAATTACAATGTTATTAAATCAGAAATTATAATGACTGAAGACGCGAACACGAGAATGAGAATTTTACAAGATACGTTGCATCATTATTACAACATTGTTTTTCCAAAAAAAAAACAAAGAAGCAAACTTAAAAAATGGACTACATTAGGTATAGAAACGAGTAAGAAAAACTTAACTAAAATGGAAATATTACAAGAACCTTAACCCTAGCAAACAGAGAAAACTAAAAATTAAGAAATATAAGAAATTATTGCTAAAAACAATGATAGCCGCAAAAAATACAATATCGTAACAGGATTAAGGAGGCAAAAAATAAAATTAAAGAATCGTGGAAAATTATAAATGAGCAGATAGGACAAAAAAACGGCAAAATACAAAATCTAAAATTGAATCTATAAGAAACAATAGTGGGCAGATTATTACAGAATCTCAAAAAAGTGCAAGAAGTTTTAATGATTTTTTCTGCAATATTGCGCAAAGATTAACAAGCAATTTAGAAGTTGACGCAGAAAACTGCATGAAGTACTTAGATTGCTCAAATAGACAACTAACATCTACTTCTCTTTACCCATTAGTTTATACAGAGCTAAAAAAGGTTGTTACTAGTATGAAGCAAAAATCCTAGTTAGACATATAAGATATGAACACTAGAACATTAAGAAATCTTAATAGAAAGAATAATAATTTATTCGAGTTGATATTTATTGTTGTCGATTCCTGCTTAGTTAATGGCATATTCCCCGACGTACTCAAACCGGGAAGGGTAATTCCACTTTTCAAAAAAGGGGATTCCACAGAGCTAAATAATTACAGGCCAGTTTGTATATTGCCAATTTTATCAAAAATGTTAGCAGCCATTATAAAATCTAGAATTGTAAGTTACTTTGAAGAAAATCATTAATTTACGACAACGGCACAATTTGGATTTAGAAAAGTACGATCAACCGAAATGGCCATAAGAAAAGTAATTTATTTCATTCTAGAATCTTTGGATAATTCCAATAGATGTGCCATTGTTTTTTGTGACCTATCAAATACTGGAGCGACCCCAATGTATGCTACTGGCGGTCACTAATCAGCTGGTGATTCACAAGGTACCGCATGAGCTGGCTGTTAATAATGGACTCTATTATTTTAGCGAACAAGGAGGTCAGGGCTATAAGCCAATAGTTGGACGGATCAGAGTGGTTATCTTTCAAGGGATCTGGCGCACGAAAGCTATACGTAAATAACGAACTGGAAGATATAACACAATAACGTACTGGAATCATATAAAGGTCAATGTTCACTTGGAAAAAGGTTTAAGTAAAATCCATTTTAAAATATTATCAATTACTTATTTTCATGAAATTAAGATTAAATAATCAAAAACGAATCTTAAACTATTCATATTTTGCATTTTTGCGAAACTAAACACCAAAATAACACAACACAGTAGAATAAAAGCCTTTAACAAAATAATGTGCTTACAAAAAACAGTAGGTACTAATCAAAGTAGGTTATTCATAAAAGAAATAAAACGAATTTAACAAATATGTGTTCACAGTTTACAATTAGTACAGATACCGTAATTTTTACCATTTATCACAGAATTTTGTTTTACTGTTTTTTTTTAATTATAAGGGTTATCCTATTTGAGACTATTCGCGTTCGCACAGAGCCATATTTAAGAAGAAATTGAAATTTAAAAATACGTTTTTTAATGTAATCAATAGGCGAACTATAATATAGTATTAATTTAATATGTAATGATTTAAAAAAAAAACTTTTTGTGTTTATCTAATAAACTCAGCATACAAATATAATAAAGCCACATTAAAAAAATGTGTTTTTAACAGTAACTTATTTATATTTTTCCATTTAATAAAATTAAAAAAAAATGCTTCTTATCATTTAAACATTTTTTTATATTATGGTCCTGTGCGAGTGGAAAAGTTGACGAAAGGCAACGACCTCTTAATTAAAAACGGACCTAGTTCGGCTACTGAGGGACCACTAGGGTTGGCATTTCCAATATGGACCATCGATATTTGAGGTTTTTGGGGAGGGGGAGGGAGGTCTCCCCCCTGTGCCATCCCCACCCTGCGGAACCCCATGGTTATGGAGATATTCAAGGTTAAGTGTCTGATGAAATGGAGGGCGGGGATATGGGATAGGGGCGGTAAAATGAACTAGATTAATGAAGGTAAGGGTGGGGATTATGGGAGGGGGGGAGGGGTTGTTTGGGGGGGGGGGGGGGGTTTACTTGATGACGGCGCAGAAGAGGAAGCCGTGACAAGTGGCTCAATTGAGTCCAACACTTGCACTTGCGTAGTAGTAGGCACAAGCGGCTCTATTGAGTCCAACACTCGTGCAATACTTGAAGACAGCGCTGAAAAGGAGGCCGTGACAAGCGTCTCATTTGAGTTCAACACTTGCACTTCACTCAACTCTCCAGACACAGAAGTCTCGAAGCTCCTGTTCGGGGTAAACGTTGTAAGCTTACAGGAGTACGTAAAACGATCTCAACTGCAAGAGCAGCGGTCGACAATGATGTCGTTTCGCGGTTCTTTCTAAGCAGTGCAAAAACAAATTTAGTGATCCGTAAAAAGTATCGATACTTGATTAGTATCGATACTTTCATTTCAATACCAAGTATTTTTGTACTCGATACACTTTTTACGAATAACAAATCTTTAGCTAAACTATCAGCAATTTACACAATACAATGTTCAGCCCTTTTTTATGACAATAGTACAGAGAATTTCTAATATTTAAAATTAGGGGGTATCTAATCTTAGAGTGCAAAGGACTAGATACAATACTTTGAAGACAACTAACTGCTCCGTGGCAGCTCCAGCGCTGCGGGATGAGCAGTGCCTCCGCCCTAGCGTAGGGAAGCACAGGCACCTGAGCTCGCCTTCGCAGCTTCGGCTTTTTGGTTGCCTTCGGCGACCAGCCTCAGTCGCTACGGCGATCTCGGTGCCTGCGCTTCCCTACGGCGGGCGGGCACTGCTTTCCCTCCTTTTTTTTGCGCCCGAAGCAAATAAAGGGCTACCCTATACGTAGGGAGGCGGAAAATGCATTACGCATACCACGATAGCCGGTCTATCGTGGTTATGAGGGACTCACATCCTACCGGGGACCTAAGTGATACCCTCTAAAAACCGCCTTTAGGGACAGGCAACTGGCTGATTAAGCTTTATTGTGCCTTATCGTGAGCGACCCTCTTTTGGGAAAAGAGGGCTCAGGCGGCTACGAGCCGCTGAGGGAGTGCCTACGAAGGCAAATTAATTATGAGTGAGTAATAATTTAATTTAATTAGAGTTAGCCTGAGCCGCCAGGAGGCAGTTCAGGTCGTTTGTTAGTTTATTAGGCGGGTCCGAGAGAAAGTTTCTCGGGCTGCATAAGTAGCTGCTTCACGAATTAAATGGTTTGAGTGCGACTCTGAGGCTTTGAAGAAGTTCTCAGAGAGTTTTTGGAGAAATTGTTGAATTGTGGGGAGCTCTAGGTCCCGATGAAGGTCAGCATTACGGACGTACCAAGGTGCGTTCGCAGCTCGACGACAGAAAAGGTTTTGAACTATTTGAAGTTCATTAATAATTTTAGGGTTGGCGTGGGCAAAAACGGGGCCCGCGTAGGACATGACTGGTCGTATGCAGACCTTATAAAGGGTACGCTTGTTTCTAAGGGACATTTTACTGTGTCGGCCCAACATACTGTTGAGCCTACTCAGATAAAACCGTGCGTGACTGGTTACTCTTTTGACGTGGGGCCTGAAAGTAAGCCCTGTGTCTAGAGTGACACCTAAATATTTGGCGGTCGTATGCCAGGGGACAGGGGTCCCTAGCATACGTATTGGTGGAGTGTTTTTGAGACGGCGTCGTTTATAATCGAAGTGAACGGCGGAGCTCTTCTCCGGGTTCACATCGATGCGCCATTTTTTGAACCAAGCTCCTAGATCATCAACTGACTTTTGAATCTTGTTCCGTATGAAGGGTAGTGAGATACCTTTGCAGTAGGGTCACCGTCTGTGGGAAACAGATAGCGCCTCATACGTGTTTGGATGACTCTTTCGAAGAGCTTGCCCATTGCCTTGAGGAGGCTAATGGGGCGATGACTGGAGGGGAGGTTGAGAGGCTTGCCTGGCTTGGGAATTCCAATCACAGTTGCCTCTTTCCACGTAGTGGGAAAGTAACTAAGGTTGAAGCAGGAGTTGAAGATAATAGATAAAAAGGTTAACACCTGCTCAGGAAAGTGTTTTAGGGCTTGGTTGGAGATGCCATCCGCGCCCGGAGCCTTTTTAGGCTTAAGTCCTTTGATGAGGGATGAAATCTCATCATTGGACACAGAGATAGGTTCGGAGGCCGTAGGGGGTGAGTTCCGACGGCGGACCTCTTCCTCCACTGCCTGGACGTGTGAGGGGTCGATGGGTTGAGAGCTAGGAGAGCATTGTGCGGCAATGCTATCTGCAAATCACTCAGCCTTTTCCTCGTCCTCGAAGGCAACCGTGCCGTCGGGACGGGAGAGAGGGGGAGTGTGGGTGATAGCGTCTATGCGAAGGGCTCTGGCCATCTGATAGTACGCTGTATGAGATGGAGAGATATTCTCCATGAGTTTACTCTTTTCGAGGTCTCGAAATTCAGAGAGGCGGAAACGGAGTTCTCGTTGAAGACGATTGGCCGCGCGCCTATATTCGGGGGTGGGATATTTTGCTGCTCTCCGGAAAGCAGCTTTTTTGGCTTTTAATAGGTTGCTAATATGTAGGGTAAGCCCACTATTGTTAGCCACCGGGACGACCCTTTCGTTCTCCTTAAGGGGGGATTTGATAAGGGTGGAGAGTTAATCGACCGCGGTGTCGATTTTTTCGGGACTGTCTAAGACGACGATAGGGAGATGGTAGAGTCCTGTGAGTCCAGAGCTTTAGCTAGGGACTCCTTGAATCCCTTCCAATTAGTGAAGGTTTTCGTGTGTGTTGGTGGAGGTGGCTGATGGCCAAGAATGAGGGAGACCGGTCGGTGGTCGGATCCTAGATCGTCTAGTGTCTCGATTGCTCTGAGTTTGAGAGAAAATCCTTGGAGTAACGCAAAATCTAGTACGTCGGGGGCGTGATCGGTGTTATAGGGAAAGTGAGTAACACCGAGGGGACTATGGACGGTAATATCAAGAGACTGCGTGATATCGAGCAGTATCTTGCCACTAGGGGACGTAGTACGGCATGTCCATTCAGTATGCTTGGAGTTAAAATCTCCAAACATAATGACTGAATTGCCTAAAGATAAAATGGCCTCAAAATCTTTTTTGAGGGGATGGGTTCCTGAAGGAATGTAACAGGAGGCTATGAGGATGGACTGATGTCCAGTCATAGCTAGCCTGCATACCGTGGCTTCCATGTTGGTAAGCTGCGGAGTAGAAATGGGCGAGCAGTGAAGTGTCTTCTTGTAATAGATGGCCGTTCCGCCGCCTCGGCGGTCGAGTCTGTGGTTACGAAGAAGAGAGAAGTTTACATAATGATTTCTTATATTTACGCGAACACTACAATTTGAAATAATACTAGTTTTTACGGAATTTATCGCGTATATTTAACTTTTTAAATACCCGACGTTTCGAACGCTTTACAGCACTCATGGTCACGGGCAGGACTGAGATGTTCAACGTCCATATGTCATAGTTAACCGCGGTTACCATAGATTAAAATTTAACTTTTGTTCCGATCTATGCAGTATGAACTTATGGTATCCTGAAGTCTTGCAGTTGTATGCTTGGGTTGGGATTTAATTTTATTTATTATAGGATCCCAAGCAGATGGTAGCACCCAGCCATCTTCTCTATTGAAATTAGGATGTTTTTTGATTTCAATAGCCTCGCGAATCATCCTTGGAAGGAATAAGTGTTCTTTAGCGAGGATCTGCGGTCTATCAAATCTGATGTAGTGACGGGGGCGATCCTGTACGTGTTCACAGACTGCAGACTTCCCGGAGCGTCGATTCTTCACATCAGCTATATGTTCTTTAACGCGGGTTTTTATTGATCTTTTAGTTTGTCCTATGTAGGAGAGACCACATTCACAATCAAGCTTGTACACTCCTGCATCTTGCAGAGGGACATTACACTTGACCGATGGTAAAAACTGACCAATCTTCTTCAGCGGCTTGAAGTATGTTTTGATGGAAGCGCGCTTCAAGATGTAGCCAATCTTGTCAGTGACTCCTCTAACATATGGCAGTACAGCAGGTACACGCTCGACTGTGGCCGGCTTCACTCGTTCACTGTGACGTAGGCGCGGGACTCGAAGCTTGTTGTCATGCAAAATTTGCTTGACATGGTGGAGCTCTGCAGCCAGGTGTTTACTGTCACAGATCCCTCGTGCTCTCTGAAACAAAGATTTACCCACGGTAGCTAACTGTGAAGTGTAAGTGATTCTCACCACCATCCTTATGCTATATTATTCCTAATGCTATATTATTTTTAATTGTTGCATTTTTTCGTCCCGTAAGTTGATAGGTGACAAATAAATTTTGTATGCAGCTTTATTTTGTTGATTCAAAAATATTTTTTATGTTTAAGCTTCTTGAAAATTATGATTATTTCTACATTATTCTAAACATGATTATCAATGTTTTATTAATTAATAATATTATTATACTTATTGTTAGCGTATGGTATTCACAATCAAACATGGGCCCACTGAAAACTTTCAAAAAGTAAATTTTTTTACGACCTTACTATCTATATATCTATATAGAGTTCAGTGTATGAATAATATACTATAATATAATGCTATCTTTTAGACTAAAAGCCATAGATTACTGACTACTAAAAGCCTTATAGCCAACAAAGCCATGATAAATGGAAAAATCTGTCAGACAGAACTAGTGAAGTTACGGTGTGCAAAATCAGGCTCCGCTAATAACTTTTCTTTAACCGGACATTCACCAGTGAAAAACCGGTTACGGTGAGAACGATGAGACTAGAAAGTAATAATATAGCGATTCCTCGAATAATCAGAAATAATAACACCAAGGAAATTCTCAAACATTTATTCAAGATTACAATACATTTATTGAAATTATTCAAGTTTAAAGAGCTTTGACGGGCTGCTGCATACGAGCTCTAAGCCTTTGAATGCCAGTGTTCCACAGGGCTACCCCTTTTCTTCTGCGTATGTGCTTGATTTTGTGTATTTGTTAATCAAAGTCTCGGATTTAGTGCTCTAGTTTAAGAAGTCGTCAGAGAAAGACTCAGGTACATTTACACGTGAAAGAAAACCCTTTGTCATGTCTCCTTTTTGTAGGGTGCTCCTCTTGTAGCCTCACCCAGTTTCAGAATTCTCGGCGTTGACATATTGAGTGGCGTCTGGTTCCGCAATCACTTGGGAGTTAAGGCAAATAAGGTCTTTATAAAGCTAGTGTTCTTAGTAGAGGGCAAAGCACTTGTAAAAAAAGACGTTAAAGAAACGTTGCGTCTCGTATGATCACGTTTTAGGAAGTACTCTGAGGAAATATTCGGATTAATAATTTAAGGTATTAAATCCTATCTTCGTACACAGCAATAGAGCTTTAAATTCCATTGACATCATGTCAATAGTTGGCAGGTCATTACTGCGTTTTTCCAGAAAATTTCTTCCTTGCACTATCATATGTTTGGCGAAAAAGCCTTAAACTCTCCTCCTCCTCCTATTCCTTAAAGTCCAATGCAGCAGGTTTTCACGGGCTGTAAAGAATACACAACATCAAATGAGCAGTTTGCTCATACTTCCTCTTCAATAATATCTTATGTCTAGGCTCAGTAAGTGGCAGTAATGTATAGATATTTAAAGGCTAATTTTTTAGAGCATAGTCAGCTCAGTAGTTACAACTGATATGATGATGTATTATAACTGATTTTAAATACATATTTTTTTCGTAAAATATTGATGGCCGAAGCATTTGCCAGTATTAAAGAAAAGAGATATCTAGCTTTTTTTTTGATGACGTAGCCTTTTCATACAGTGGTGATGTGTGATGTAATGGTATCTTTTTATATACGGTGACTAGTGGTGACAGAATTAGTGCACGCAATTGACGGAGGGCGGGAGGTGCTCTTCAATCCAGGTAAGACACATTATTAGCTGCGTTTGGCAGAAAAAGCGCTAGCAAGCGCTTGTAAGCAAAATGGCGATCGTAAGCGGTAAGCGCTATCAAATCGTAAGTAGCTATTTTCTTCTAGGACACAAAGTTAGTTTTAATCGGGGAACCTAACCTAATTTAAATATATGTTTGTAAAGTATTCATATTAAAAACTTACCAATCATGAATATTTAATAACATGTATTTTGCACAAAACAACTTATAAACTCTACTTCAAAACAAACAAATTAAATAAGCAAAATGGCGTGTTGTGACAGCGCTACTGAAGTTAGCAAACGTGTCCTGGCCGAAAACTGTTTAATTTCGCCATTTTGCTTGCAAGCACTTGCTAGCGCTTTTTTCTGCCAAACGCACCCATTGTATTTAATTGAGTGGATGGTTGCGAATTAAATTTTAATATCTTTATTATAAACGGTGAATTACATTAACCGGTTTTACAACGGTTAATTTAGTACACACCACTATACAACACTGATGTCATCCATCCGATGAACATTGAATTAAATAACTCATAATCTTTATTGTTTATTAATCTAATTGTGCTCTATGTGATAACACAAAATTTCATATTTCAGTGAAAGACTGTAAGAGGCTTAAAGCTAAAAATTACTGTAAAAGTTTTGTGGAAATAAAAGATTCCTTTGTATCCTATAAAAGAACCACTGAGTTAATTTCCGTGCTCATTGCGTGGGATGTTTACAATTCCATAATTTATTTTCATATTTTATCAACAGTAAGTAGTATACATTTTATTGAGTAATGTTTTGAGATAAAATTTCTATAAGTCATTTTCTCCTTATTGAGTAGGTTGCATTGCCCTTGAATACACAGGTATTTTTTTTACTTTCAGAAGACCATGACTCCACAGCTTATCCTCAAACTGTAGATTTTGTAAAAAGTTTATGACTACAGTACCATGTCAAGTACAGAGCAAAGTATATTGAACTCAATGCAACAATTATCTGTGCAACCAAGTAATAGTAGTCATCCTGAAAAACCAACTCAAGTTGTGTCTCCAGCTATTAATAGAAGTCAATCTTCCCCAGCGTCTAAACTCACACCGGTTAAATCAGGCACGGTATCCCCTGCTATTGCAACTATTGATCGTCTTTTAAGCTTGGGTGCCAGTGTTCCTCCACCTCCTCCTGTCATAACCAGACCTGCAGACATGGATCCACATACCATGGAACAGCTTCGAGCTGTTAAAGAAATGTTAACAGCTCAGGAAGAGGAAGCTCAAAGCTTAAGGGATATTAATAGAGAGTTACGTGACCGACTAGAAGAGTGTGAAACAAAAATTAAGAAATTAACTGAACAAAACGAAGAGTATGCAGAGAAGGAAAAGACTCTGTCACAGCGTGTAGCAGAAAAAGTGCGAAATAATAAACAAATGAGTGTTGTTATGGAGGAATATGAACGTACCATATCATCCCTCATAGGTGAAAGAGAAACCGAAACAAAAAGGTGGACAGATGAAAGAGCTACGCTACTCAGAGAACGTGATGAAGCTGCAGCTCATTTAGCATCCATGGAACATGCTTTTAATGATGTTCATACTAAATATGAAAGATGTAAAGTAATTATCCAAGGATATAAAAGTAACGAAGAAACCTTGAAACGAACAGTTGAAGAGAATAATGATGCCATACAGAAATTGGAAGCTAGATATGAAACATTAAGACAACATGCTATGCAGCAACTAAATAAAGCCAATGCAGAACTTGATTCCGTAAAAAAAGCTCATCAAGCTGAAATTCTTAAATTGAACGCCATGCTTAAGAAGAGTGAGGTACATGCTTCTTCTTTACAGGAATCTTTAGCACAAAAAATTAAAGATAATGAAGAACTTACAGCTATTTGTGATGAGTTAATTAATAAAGTGGGGTAATTGACCACAATAATACCAATTGACTATATACACTACATACTCATAAAATTTTTATTTACCGTACATGCTTTGCTAAATATTAGACTAACAACATAATATTACAAAAGCGGGCTAATAATGCTTAAATACTTACATAGATAATACTGCTACCATCTATAATATCTTTTCCATTCTTTGTTTCTTGGTATTTTTAATGATAAGTGCAATCAGTTTGTGTCAGTGTTTTTTTTTGTACACTTTTGTAATTAAATATTTTTAATTTTTTTTATATTGTGACAATTGATCTTTGTTAATTTCTTATGTTATTGATAACTGTAAAAACTTATATTATTGGTGCTTATAATGTATTTAAAATTGGCCATCCATTGTTTCCACAAAAATTTTCAATAACACTTGAAAATATTTACTGTTTTATTAATACATAAATAGGAAAGATCAATAAACCATTATTTATCTAATTGTGAGAAAGTACACTTTAAACTCACACTAATTAAAGTCAAACAGTGTACTGCTTTGTTTTTCTTTTCAATAGATTTAACTAAACAAGTTAAAATGATAATCATTATATTTAAGATTGTCTGACTGCACATCCTGCTAGTGATTAAATTTTGTTTGGAGGAGTACTGATTTGAGAGTACTAGAACACTAGCTGCCATAATAATTATGATTTGAAATTTTATTTCTTAAAATATAAGGTAGTACAATATGTATTTGTTCATTTTTATTTTGTTTTGTGAATATTTTATGATTCTAGTGGCTAAATACTCAAATGCTTCTTAATTTTAAGATGTTAAGTCACATATGTCAGTCACTTTAGACTTAATGAAATAGAGAGAGCATGAGACTTAATTGCATATTAAAATTGGAGCAGCATTTGGGTATTTGGGCATAGTAAGTATAGTGATAGTTGAGAGGAAGGCATCAATGTAGAGTATTATGATGATTTTAATAATGCAAGAACTAGAATATAACTTTATTAATCCTTCTAGTCTTCAAATTATTAGCCACCCAAGTTAATTCATTAACCTACTGCTTTGGCAAACTAGTTTGCTAGTAAATACACTTCACTGGTTTTCTAGTTTAAAAATTACGAAAGAGAATGTATGAAAAATATTATTTTATGCACTACAGCTCTCTCATCTAATAACAGAATATGAGAAATAATATTAAAGATAAAAGTTATTGTTAGTATTTTTTTATGCTACATTTATACCAAAAACTTAGATACATTGTTACTATGTATGATCATTATTATTAATAAGTAATTATTAATTTATTAACAGAAGAAATGAGCATCTAGTGTATGTGTGCCTTTACAGAGATTAACCTTCACCATCCATTTAGTCTGTTATGTAACAGACTAAATTTTTAATCAATTATTACATAATTTTCATGAGATTGGTAATTGTAATATTTTTAGCTGGTATAAATTAATCTAGATTATAACATTATAGTGTCCACTCTGAAATAAGCAATATTATCAGTCATTTTGGAGCTAAAATAAACACAGTATTGTCAAATCCTTAAACAATAATTTGTCTAAGAATGAATTATTTGTGTAACTGGGATATTCTGCTAATGTTGCAGTATTAAATGACAGAATATACAACATTGTACCTATATTTTTATAATGAAATAATTCCATATTTTGTTCATTTTCACCTTCATTTAAAAATTACAATCTGTTGAATATATATTTCATGAAAACATATTATTGAATTACTTACACTAAAGATGTTCAACATTCCACATTATTATTATTTTTGTAGATCTTTTTTATAAGAAATTCTTCATTGATTTATAAAACTTATTTTATTCTTATTTAAGTAAAATAATCGTATATTACCCATTTGCTTTTAGGCTACCCAAAAATTGGCCTACCTAACATGCTGAATGAATATTTAATATATTTTCACTTATTTTAAGTGTAATTTTATAGGTATCATATTAGTATTTTTTTATGATTTAAATATTTTATATCATGATGTTTATTTATGTGAATAGAATGAGAAAATAAATTGATAAATATTTTGTATCTATTACATGTATTACTTTTTTACCTGTTTTTCTATTTAAAACTTGGAATAAACATCTTCCAGGTTGTTTTTTGTATTTACAGATTGTATGAGTGAGTATTACACACTGGTTGAGAATGAATTTCAGAAGCCTTAGGGCAGATTTTTCAATTGTCAGATTAATTTTAGTCTTAATATACAACATAAACAAATTAAAAATTACAGTTGTTTAAATAAAATAGTTCAGTCGTTTAAATTTTAGATTCATTTATTTTCTTTTAAATCAAATAACGTTTATAGTTTATGTGATTGATAACTTACGATTAAAAAAATCAGCCCTGAATAGTATGAGATTTAATTCGAATCCTTACATGCGAAATCTACATTAGTGCTCATAATGTAATCTGAGCTTTTATGTAAAAATAAATTAATGGTTTACGAGGCTATTACCTGTAAATAGTAAATGGCGAAAAAACATACGTGTTAATATGTTTCAATTTAATATTAAAGGAATATTTTTGCTTTGATATTTTTTTTACTTTTCTTTGCCATTATTGTTATTACTATTATTTTATTGAAGAGAAGGCAAACGAGCATGCGGCTCACCTGATGTTAAGTGACTACCGCCGCCCATGACCAACCGTAACACCAGGGGAATTGCGGGTGCGTTGCCGGCCCTTTAGAAAGGAGTAAGCTCTTTTCTTGAAGGTCCCCTGGTCGTATCGGTTCGGAAAAATCGCCAGTGGTAAATTATTCCACAGAGAGGTCATACGCGGAAGAAAACTCCTAGTGAAACGTACAGTGGTGGACCGCTAAGCATCCAGATGGTACCTACCTAGGCTGCACTAAAAGTATCGGGAATGGAATATTTTCACTGTTCCTGTCATATTAAAATCTTTTAATTGAAAACTCCTTGGTTTTAAAAATCGAATACCATTTATTTATTTAAAAAAAGATTCTCGGTCTTGTCACAAGGTTTTGTCAAACTTGGTTAGTCGTTGAGAAAATGGAATTGACTCGAGAAACTTCAAGAGCGATGATTTATTATGACTTTCGAAGTAGTTTAAAACAAAAACAGTGTCTTGACCGGATGATTTCTGCATTTGGTGATGAAGCCCCATCCAAAACCACAATTTATCGCTGGTTTGCTGAATTTCAACGTGGACGTGTCAAGCTCAGTGATGATCCCCGTCAAGGTCGTCCAAAAACTGCAGTCACCCAAGAAAAAGTTGATGCTGTGCGTAAGCTGATTGAGGAAGATCGACATGTGACATACCGCGAAATTCAGGCAACTTTAGAAATTGGCATGAGTCAAATACAAATAATCTGGCATGAACAATAAGGTGTAAAAAAGTTGTTTTCCCGATGGATACCGCATTCGCTCTGTGAAGAGCAAAAAGCGGCTCGCGTTACTTGGTGCGTCAGAACTCTCGAAAGATTCCACGCAGGATCCTCAAATGCTGTATACAACATCGTATCAGGTGACGAATCCTGGATATACGCGTATGAACCCGAAACAAAAAACCAGTCACGAGTTTGGGTGTTCGAAAATGAGTTAAAGCCAACAAAAATTGTTCGTTCACGGAGTGTTGCAAAAAAAATGGTGTACACGTTTGTCTCCAAAACCGGCCATGTTACGAATATTCCTCTCGAGGGACAAAAAACGGTTAATGCAGAATGGTATGCTAGCATTTGTTTGCCACAGGTCGTTTCTGAACTCCGTAAAGAGAACTGCAACCGCCGCATCATCCTCCATCACGATAATGCGAGTTCTCACACCGCACACAGAACAAAAGAGTTTTTAAAGCAAGAAAGCACAAAGTTATTAGACCATCCGCCGTACAGCCCCGACCTAAGCCCTAATGATTTCTATACTTTCCCTAAAATAAAGAATAAATTGCGTGGACAGAGATTTTCATCACCTGAAGAAGCTGTGGACGCCTACAAAATGGCCATTTTGGAGACCCCAACTTCCGAATGGAGTGGTTGCTTCAATGATTGGTTCCATCGTATGGAAAAATGTGTCAAATTTCGCGGAGAATACTTCAAAAAGCAATAAATACATTTTTAAATAGTAATGTTATGTCACTTCCTTGATTCCCGAAATTTTCAGTGCCGCCCTCGTACCGAATAAAATTGTTTTTTCAAAAGCCACTTTAAGGTGGCCCTAGTCGATAGCTCGAACTAAATGGTAGGCGGGGTTAAAATGCATGCTATCTCAGCCAACATCACGTGCGAAATGGATAGACGCTGTGATGAGCACTAAGAAGCTAGTGCGCACACACATACGCACTCGAGTGACGCAATGCACGACGGCCTCATCGCGTACCTACCTATGCGATTCATTTTTGAATGACAACATAAACTCAAACCGCAATTAAAAGCTCCGTGGCGCAGGGAGCCGCGGGTTCGTATCCCGCACGGAACAAATATATGTATGGCCTACAAATAGTTGTTCCGGGTCTGGAGGACAAAAGTCCTTGTGCAATTTATGTTTCTTCCTTGATTACCGAAATTTTCAGTGCCGCCCTCGTATCGGGAGGTTTGCCGTGCAGTGCGTTCATGAAATTTGGTAGCTGGAATTAATCCAAACAATTCCTGACAGCACTCCCCGTGATAGATGCTATAAAATATGCAGAGATGCAACATCTCTTCGCAGCGCCAGTGAATCAAGCCGATCACAAAGCACTCGGTCGTCGACGATTCGAGCCGCTCTGCGCTGGATGCGGTCAAGTGGAAGGAGCTGGTACTGGGGAGCCCCAGTCCAGAGATGGGAACAGTATTCCATGTGCGGCCGAACCTGCGCCTTGTAAAGTACCAAAAAGCAGGCGGTGTGCCGGCATGAAATACTGTCCCGCTCTGCTGAGCACGCCAAGCTTTTTAGAGGCCAATTTGGCTTTCTCTTCCAAGTGACCACGAAACTGCACGTCACTCGATATGTCGACGCCGAGGGTTCCGATACTGGCTGAGGCAACAAGGAGAGTG